AATGTAATTTGCTTTCTAGACTGTAAACATCCACATTATTTGTGAAGATTTTGAAAATGTAATTTGCTTCCTAGACTGTAAACATCCACAGTATTTGTGAAGATTTTGAAAATGTAATTTGCCTCCTAAACTGTGAACATCCACAGTATTTGTGAAGATTTTGAAAATGTAATTTGCTTCCTAGACTGTAAACCTCCACAATATCGGTGAACATTTTGAAAATGTAATTTACCTTCCTAAATTGTGAAGATCCATAGTATTTGTGAAGATGTTGAAAATGAAGATTTTGAAAATGTTATTTGCCTTCCTAGACTGTAAACATTCACAGTATTTATGAAGATTTTGAAAATGTTATTTGCCTTCCTAGGCTGTGAACATCCACAGTATTTGTGAAGATTTTGAAAATGTAATTTGCTTCCTAGACTGTAAACATCCACAGTATTGGTGAACATTTTGAAAATGTTATTTGCCTTCCTAGACTGTAAACATCCACAATATTTGTGAAGATTATGAAAATGTAATTTGCTTTCTAGACTGTAAACATCCATATTATTTGTGAAGATTTTGAAAATGTAATTTGCTTTTTAGACTGTAAACATCCACAGTATTTGTGAAGATTTTGAAAATGTAATTTGCCTTCATAGGCTGTAAACATCCACAGTATTTGTGAAGATTTTGAAAATGTAATTTGCCTTCCTAGACTGTAAACATCCACAGTATTTGTGAAGATTTTGAAAATGTGATTCACTTTCATAGATTTTAAAAATACACTGTATTCATGAAGAGTTTGAAAGTAAGATTTAATTTCCTTGATTGTTAACATACACTTTCCATGAAGATTTTGAAAAATGTGATTAATTTTCCAAGTGTAAACATACACTGTCATTACAAAGATTTTGAAAAATGTGATGAAATGTTATATACTGTAAACATTCACTATATCCATGAAGTTTTTGAAGAATGTGATGAATTTTCCAACATTGTAAACATATACTGTACTCAAGAATATATTTAAGAAATGTAATTAATCTTGAAAATGACCAAGAGGCATTATTCCTTTTTAATCCACTTTACAATTACTGGTTTCAAGTTTAACTGTTACAAATAAAGCTTGCTACAGTAAACTCCTCAGAACAAATACCTCAGCATACTGTAACCACTTCAAGACCAAATCGTTTTGTCCCTAATTTTTACTTCTTTCATATCATTATTTTTTTACAGTATACCTGGATATATTTTATCGACAAAATTCCTGACACATGCTGGAACAGATTAATTAACTTTAGGAAGTACTGCAGTGTTCTGCTCTCTAAGACAAAGACCCAGAAAATGTTTCAAGGGCATGTGAGGTTAAAAAATACTTAAAAACATGTGTTGTCACAGATTTAGACTAAAAATAGGGTAATCTTAGGTCATTCCACCACAGAAAATAGCCAGCTTTTAAAATGAATTATTAATAACTAAATACCTGTATGTACATCATTTATATTTTCCTGCTTATTATCTAATTGTGATTGATGCTATTCCTTTGAATACGTGATCAACAGTGCAATGCTTGCTTTTTTTAAAATTAAATATCAGGATTTCATTAACCATGAATACGGCCTTACTTTTAATGTTTTGCTTATGGAGATCAACAAAGCAGTAAAAAAATTAGATACACTCAGTGACATATCCTGAATTTTTAGGTCCTAAACAGAAATTAAAAAATCTTCACAATTGCTAAGGATGAGCATTATTTGTCTACGGCACAAGATATGGAGTCTACAACAAACACCACATCAGTTAATGAAGGATGCAGAAAAAAGACAATACTCCATGCCTTCTTCAACCCAGGATCAGGAACTGTGAACATTATGAATTATCTGGAGTATTAAAACACTCTTGGGTATCATTCGTAATTCCAGTGGACTTATAGTAGAGTTATAAACATATCTCTTCCCTCCCATGTTCTTGTGATGATGGTTGTATTTCTATGTGAAAGAACTTTAATTATTTGCTAGGATATGATATTCAGCTAATTCTCATTAAACACATGTATTTAAATAAAACAATAACAGCTTTCTTAATTATGTACTTTATTACACACACACACACACACACACACACACACACACACACACACACACACACACTCATGGTCCATTAATTACATCCTTTATTCATCATCACATAAACATTAAGAAAAAGACTATTTCTAATCTGCAAAAAAAAAATCAGAAAAGCAAACATTTCTGAAAATTGGAATAGTTCGGGAGTGTCAAGGTTTATCAGTTTTATCAGGTTTTGCTCTCAACTTTTATGATCTATCAATATATCAGATGTATTTGATACTGGACTCAAAATAAAATGGTGTGGGTTCAAATCCTAACATCTGACCAGCTGAGTCAATTACCATAGTTTGTCCTCAGGCGAGGCACTTAACTCCTACTGCACTGTGATGCTGTGCCATAAACACCAAACCAAATCAAATTCTTTGATATGAAATTTACGCAACTCACTAAATAAAAACTTTTCCAATCACAACCAGCAGTTCAGGGAAAAGATTATTAAATTTATTTTATAGTCAAGTTTGAATACTTGCATAAGATCTTCTAAAAACATGTCTTACTTTTTTCTCTGAACCTCATCAGATTCAGTGGATATTGCATGAACCAAGTCTCCAAAGGAATAGGATTTTGCAGCAAATGACTGTCTCTTCTCTGATGCATTCCTGCCATGAACATCCTCTTCAGTCCAGGATGACGTACTCCCACTACGGTCTCGCCACAATTCCTCCGAGGCAATCAGCTGTTCATCAGCAGACTTGGGTGTCAGTAGGCAGGGGAGGGAATGACCATCTACATTTGGCAAGTTGTACCTCAGATTCAGCTTCATGTATCTTCCAAGCTGCAAATTTCAAAACTACTAGATCCTAAACAAGAAATAATTTATATATAATAACCTGCCAATACAAACTTATGCAATTGCTCAGCTGTTGCTCGAACCTACAAAAGGTATCAGCTGTATGGTAGAGCATGGAACATGCTTTGAGATGGTTCCAAGTTGAAATCTGTATATTATAACACATATTGATCCCAACTGACAAATCTATTTGATGAAAGTAGTGGGATTATCCATATTGTTAAAATTCTATGTTTTTAAACTAAGTGACAGAAAAAAGTGAAAATCAACAAATAATTTATTTCCCTAGAATATAAAATGAAAATTTTAAAAGGACTTGCAGTATTGTGAATTAAATCCAAAACAGTCCTATACGTTCCATCACAAGTTTAAAAGTACAGCGTATTTCGAATGAATTCCAATCTTGAAAATGCTGATATACCAAAATCCTGGAATATTGTTGATGCGCTAATAGTCTTGATGTATCACAATGATATAATCAAAAATGTCTCTAAATGAATTCACAATAAGCCCCAAATAGTGAATGATGTTAGCACAGGAATAAAAAATTTGTTTATCTTTCCCTTATATTAAAACCTAGTTCACAATAAAAGGACCAGAACGAGGGTCAAACGTTTATTTCTAGAAGATTCTAAGTTGTCAACAATATCAGATCTAATACTAAAACTTTAGCAGAAAACATGGCAAACAGCAGGTATGCCAGGTTTTTCATATGGGAATATCAATGTCTTGAACTCAGATCAACATAAACATATTTACCTTCAAGTAATACTGATCCTAAAATATAATCTAAATCATTGACAAAAATTAGCTATGTAATATCTTGTTTACAAAAAAAGACATGTCAGGTAGACCCCTAATTATGGACAAAGGTCAATCACACAATACAAATTAAATATGCATAACAATACAGACCAGTCAGAGTGAATATAAAATTTTACATTTTGACCTCAGAAATGATGCATGAACATTTATTGGAGACAAGGGGATCTGTCTTATTAAAACAGGAACCAACTAGAAATTTTGGCTCAGAATTGTCAAATGGCTGAACAATGGGTTTATGTTAGGTTGCAGGTCTGAGCCACTCCAACCACTTTATTTTCTCCCTTCAAACTCCACTGGATGGCCTAGGTAATCACTAGATGATGGAATGGCTAATTCTGACAAACCATAAACTACTTCTGGCAGTCAATGCAATGTATGCAGATAGCAAGGTATGCCAATGCAACTTACATCTAATGATTAACTGCAACCATGATATCAAGTATATTTTCCAAAAAGACAATAATATATGTTATTTCTATCAAAATGAAATGATTTTCAATTTCTAACATCTCCAATATGGGAGAAAAATAACTGGTAACAGAAGAAAAAAAATTCAAAAGTAATCAGTTTTAGCATTTATCTTAGAGTGTTGAAGTTTTATTATTGCTGCAACTGAATAACATGGCCTTGTCATAAAACAACGCTCATCAATTAATCAGATCAGGCATAGTTACACTCATAATCTAGTTTCTCTGATAAAAACAGATTTTGTTTTGAAAATATAACCCATTATTAAAAACAATTGTTAGGTAATGGGTTATACATAATATACAACTCACTAAAAAATTCACTATAAAATGTCAATGTTTTTGGTCCTTGAGTGGTTTTTGATCATGATTTAATTTAATCTGTCTGACCTAATTTGTTATGGCTGGTACAGCTTTCTGTGTTAAATATCTTGTAGTAAATTCATTAAATATGCAATGTGGCCCATTCTGATTCTGATTTGTCAACTTAAGTTTTACCTAAAGCAGACACACATCCAGTGGAATGGTGGTATGTCTTCCAATTTCTTGCTTCATTACACAGGTTTGCATGATTTAGATTTTTAATGTAGCTTTTAACAATTTTTCAGTCATGTCAATACAACGTCTGCAATGTGACAGTTTATAGTGATGTCTAGCACTGGGGCATCATGCCGAAGATATGTGGCATGATGACCTACCCAGTCACATTATCCTGACACCAGGCCAACCAGTCCTAATACTAACCTCTTAGTGCTGAGTGCCAAGTGAGGCAGCTGTTAGTGCTATTTTTAAAAGTCTTTGGTATGACTCAGCCAGGGTTTGAACCCACGACCTCCCGCAACCTAGGCGGACGCTCTAACCACTAGGCCTCTGGAGCAATTCACAGGTTTTGGGGATATTTTGTACCTATAATTGATTAGTAAAAGTGGCAATGATTCTATGCAAAAGGCCAGAGTTATAATCAATAGTACATGCCCAATTCAGCAAAGAATAATTCTAGTGGTCTCACCTCATAGAGTCCCGGTTGGAGGATCTGGAATCCAACTTGGACCTGAAGAGTACAACCAGTAGGACAGGCCCTGAAATAGTTGATGTAACACATCAGGAGATACCATTCTAAAAACAAATACATTGTTCATGTTAGCACCATAATTGATTGAGTACAGCAATATTTCAATAAAAGCAACTGACTTGAAGAAAAGAATGTTTATTTACATGAAAAATTTTTACACAGCTGTCAAATCAATGCTTCTGATCATTTTTATTCTGAAAACTTTTTGTGTTTCAAAACCCAAACTTAGTTCAAAGTCGGAAAATGTATACAAGTATTAATCTGAATAAGAAAGAAGTCAAATAGTAGAACAAGATCTTCTCAACAAATATCATACAAAGCTTGATATTATGCATATACTGTATACACTCACTTATAAACCAGATCTAACTAAAGACTGCACAGATCTAGATCTAGCCACTGCATAATGTGCCAGTGAAATTGGATCAATGAAGTTTGTTAGTAGTAACTGGTAGAACAAACAATACAGACCTTGATCTGTTGGTGCATTGTGTAATGGCAAATCAAAGTCTATGTTCATAAAATTTCATGTTTACCAAACCAAAAATCTATAACTGTTTTATTACATCAGAGACAAAATTGCAGATGACATAAAGATGATTGATTAAAGAGAACATGAAATACAAAGAAAGTGACAGAATAATGTATTGTATATGATAACATATACTCCCTGCTAATCATGTAAAAAGAAACTCTGAACTCATCATGAAGTTTTAATTCTTTCTCCACATATAATATTAATGATTATTTAGCTAATTAAAAAACCTATATTGTATCAACAACATTAACACCATATGCTGTATCAATATTTTCAACCCTTTATACTTTATCAACATTAATACCATATGTTGTATCAATATCTTCAATTATGTACACTGTATCAACAACATTAACACCATATACTGTGTCAATATCATGAAACCCATATACTATGTCAACAATATTAACACCATACACACTATATTAATATCATCAAACCTGTATACTGTACCAACAACATTAACACCAAATGCTCTATCAATATAATCAAACCCATATACCATATCAACAATATTAACACCATATACTGTATCAATATCAACACCATTCTAGTGGTGTTGTGATGTGATTATGATTTTTAACATAGCTTTAACAATTTTTCAGTCATATAGCTACAATGTCTGCAGTGTGGCAGTTTATAGTGATGTCTATCACTGGGGCATCATGCTGCAGACATGTAGCATGATGTTCCACCCAGTCACATGATCCTGACACCAGGCCGACCAGTCCTATCACTAACCTCTTAATGCTGAGCGCCAAGCGAGGCAGCTGTTAGTACCATTTTTATAAGTCTTTGGTATGACTCGACCGGGGATCAAACCCATGACCTCCCGCTTTTGAGGCGGATGCTCTAACCACTAGGCCACCGAAGCGGTCCACTCTGGTGGCCTAGTGGTTATAGTGTATACCTTGGATGCAGGAGGTCATGAGTTCGCCCTGACCTAGTCTTACGAAAGACTTACAAAAATGGTAATCACAGCTGTATCACTTTGTGCTCAGCATTAAGAGGTTAGTGTTAGGACTGGTCAGCCTGGTGTCAGGATAATGTGACTGGGTAGGACATCATGCAACATGTCTGTGGCATGATGCACTAGTGCTAGACATCACTATAAACTGCCACACTGCAAACATCATAACGAAATGACTGAAAAATTGTTAGTGCTGTGCTAAAAATCCAAATCACACCCACCCACCCAGAGACACACCCCACATACACACACTGTCATACATGTATAATGTATCTAGAACATTAACACCATCATATACTGTATCATTATCATCAGCCCCATATACTGTAATGATAACAATCTGTTTTAGTTCATGTAACCATATGCATTGAATTTAAGTGGATATTTTAATTAAAAGTTAGGAAAATGAATTGCAAAGAAGAGAGCTGTATTGTACATGTTTGTGTGTGATTACAGTCACTGAGAACAACATTAAAAACAAAAAAGACATCCATTAATAAAACTTTAATTTCTGAACTTTGTACTATCTTGCATAACTCAAATTATTTCTCATTTTATTACCTAATAATTCAGTTGCCTGGAATGAGATGGAAGCCGGGAATACTGAAATTGGATTATGTAAAGGATGTTTCTCTAACACAATTAATAAAATAAATTAATATTGAAGAAAGTGTTTTGATAGCTTCATTTTGTTCAAGATTTTTGTTATCCTTTTTACCAATTTTAGTATTCCCTGCTTCTATCACATTCCAGGCAAGTGAAATGTAGGCCAAAGAAACCTGAAAATAGGTCCAATTATTTGTGTGAGAATTTTAATTTATTGGAAAAATGACAGAGTAAGTACAGTCTGACTAAAACATTATGACTTTAATTGGTAGAAAGTGCTAATATGGGCTGCCAAGTACATGACATATTCCAAAATGTGACTCTTTGTTCTGACATTAATCAACATCAGAACATCCTACACAGCACCTTTATAAGGGCACTAAGACCTCAACCCCAAAACACAAATATTAATTGTAGGACTTAAGGCAACCATGGACCATTTATACTTGCATGTAAGTCTTAAGACTTAAGGCAACCACGGACCATTTATACTTGCATGTGAGTCTTAAGACTTAAAGCAACCATGGACCATTTATACTTGCAAGTAAGTCTTAGGACTTAAGGCAACCATGGACCATTTATACTTGCATTTAAGTCAGATTCAACTGCACAGATCCAGATAAGGATATATGCAGTTTGTCTAAATCAATAAGTAGAACAAACAATATACACCCTGATCTGCCACTGCGCAGATGAGGGCTTATTCAAAGTTAGACCTGACTTATAGTCAAGTATATCCAGTACTTGCATAAAGAGGGATAAGGCACATAAACTCATCATTCCCCCTCCAGCTTGTATAAAGAATGAGGGATAAGGCACAGAAACTCATCATTCCCCCTCCAGCATGGCCAAAACATGTATAAAGAATGAGGGATAAGGCACAGAAACTCATCATTCCCCCTCCAGCATGGCCAAAACATGTATAAAGAATGAGGGATAAGGCACAGAAACTCATCATTCCCCCTCCAGCATGGCCACAAAGAATGAAGGATAAGGCACACAAAGGCACCATTCCCCTCCAGCATGGCCACAGCTTGTATAAAGAATGAGGGATAAGGCACAGAAATTCATCATTCCCCCTCCAGCATGGCCACAAAGAATGAAGGATAAGGCACAGAAAGGCATCATTCCCCTCCAACATGGCCACAGCTTGTATAAAGAATGAGGGATAAGGCACAGAAACTCATCATTCCCTCTCCAGCATGGCCACAAAGAATGAAGGATAAGGCACAGAAAGGCATCATTCCCCTCCAGCATGGCCACAAAGAATGAAGGATAAGGCACAGAAAGGCATCATTCCCCTCCAGCATGGCCACAAACAATGAAGGATAAGGCACAGAAAGGCATCATTCCCCTCCAGCATGGCCACAGCTTGTATAAAGAATGAGGGATAAGGCACAGAAACTCATCATTCCTTCTCCAGCATGGCCACAGCTTGTACAAAGAATGAGGGATAAGATAAGATAAGAATTCTTTATTTCAGACTGCATAATCCATACATCTAAATTAAAATATGGATATAGAGTAAAACATTATAAACATAAAATATATATATATCATATATACAAGTATTCAGATACATTTACAACAATTATTTAGGCCCTGCATTGTTAAAAAATGAAGTTATGTGACACATTTAAATAGTACTGGTTCCATCTACTAACAATGTGAGAATTTAAATGAATGTCATATTTCCAAAGTGATTTCAATATACAGTTCTCACTATTAGAAAGTCTTGTTATACATACTTTCTCATTACTTCCTCAAAACTGAATAGAAAGCAAAGACTATTATTATAACCAATTACTAGTTTTCTTTTCACATTTTCACTAAAGTTTGTCCACAGTGGAGCACAATACATAGTGCAGCAATAAGATTTGAATAATCTAATTTTGATACTCAATGAACAAGGCTTAAATTTGCATAGAAGCATGTTTGTTCGAGTACACAAATATCGATAATGACTCATCATATCTTCATTATCTGACTGATTGGATTTCAAAATATGGTCCAAATACATATAACTGTTGACTTATGTAAGAGCACTGCCGTTAAGATGTACAGAGGGAGGTGATGATAATTTAAAAGAAGTTGGCTGAAAGACCATGCATACTGATTTTGTGCATTATAGATGATATCATTTTCTAATGCATATTGTTCACATATCTTCAATAATTTTCTTAAACCTGCGACAGACGGACTTATCAGTGACATATCATCAGCAAAGCTAAAATTGTTAAGAAACAGCCCATTTGGTGGCAGATGTAACCCTATGTTTCAATGGCTTAATATACGATTTAACTCGTTAATGTAAATATTAAATAACACAGGGGAAAGAATACCTCCCTGCCTCACCCCATTGGATACATGGAAAGCATTGGATATTACACTTCCACATCGCACGTAATACAACTGTTTGCCATACCAGTTGACTAAAGTATGAACAATGTATACAGGAATTTTAATTTCGAGCAACTTTTTAAAGAATGTCCAATGATTGACCCTATCAAATGCCTTACTAGCATCTAAAAAGCATGCAAATACTGGGCTGCCATGTTCCACATAATAGCTAACGGTTTCCTTAAAGGCATAAAGACATAAATCTGTAGAATGCTGCTTTTTTAAATCCAAACTGATTATCGGAGATTAAGACATCGCATCTTTGTAGTATGATGCATTCGAATA